CGCCATTGTGATTTTCTTCTGCGTTCAGCTTCCCGGTGCAGCAATGCCCGACTACTGGGGCACGACTATCGTCACTACTACGCTTGATGGAGCTGGAGCAGCCATCCGCAAAGTCCTTCCTGAGGGCGAGTACTTTGGTCCCAGGAAGGGAGAGTGGAAATGGTAAGACTTGGATATTGAGGTGTTTTATATAATGATATCTACGTATGATGGATCAGATTTTCTAAAGTGATTTAATTCTATGATGATTAAAATGCACCACTGGGATGTCGTTTTGCCTAAGACCTGCCGACCATGTCACGAATACCTCGAGGTCTTCTCTGGTCTCCGAGATTTGTTCTAGGCAGTACGATAAGCGCTGATAACAGCTAGCTGTGAGAGTTGCTCATAATCGAGCACGAGTAAGCGCTAGGTCTGTCACTATGAACCCTACGAATGTCAGTTGGGAGATAAACTTTTAGGTGAAAACTTTACTCACTCATGGCCAATACACAGTCGAAGGATGTGGCAGATGCAGAACTACCTTGTACAACCTGGCAATCCAGACCCGGCCGGGCTAGTCTTTTGAGTAAGCCCATATCGAGACTCTTGTGAGTTTCCAATACTCTACGTGCAATACAGTCAAAATTGCTGGTTCGATGTGGAATTGTTGCTAAAGATTGAGAATAGTGGCGCTACTAAATCATTTTCCTTTGCACCATTTCGTTGCTGACTCGTAACGAAGCCTGCGCTATTAACACGCCCAAAAAATGCTAGAGTAGGCTAGGGTTTTGCATATCCACTGCGCTGTAATAAGAGGAAACACATATCTATTGTCTCTTTTGGATGATGTCAAGCACAGTAACCAGCAAAGCAAGGGGCGCAAAAGTGGTTCTGATCGTACAACCTTTTTGTGAATAGCTAAAATACTTTAACTGGGATGCTTCCCCAAGAAAGCGTCAACCATGCCACTACTTCCCTGATCCAGGATTTGAGGCTCATCTCGTCCCGCATCCGAGCTAATACAATACGTTACAATAGAGAGCTCGTGAATTCCCTCTTGGCTAAGAAAGTCAAGTATCAGTGGAATCTCATTCTGGCATGTACCAACGACAACCAGAATCATTCTATGGCATCCAAATTCTGATTGAATACTTCAACCGTTGAGACGCGCACAAGATGATCTTTTTCAGCAATATTCATTCCCATTTTGGCATTCGAGTTACATATTTATTGAGTTTGATGTCATCAACAGCAACACGTGCATTTGCGAAAGTAACTTGGTCAGAAGAGTAACCACATGCAATCGTCGGCACGGCACCAATGGAGCTCGAAGCAAAGGAAATCTGGAGCATAAACCGCCCGAAATCACCAGGCTGCTGTAACATGAATTGTAGTATTTTTGGCGTTCAGTTATCAGTGCTGTGAGTGATCCAAAATGCTGTGGTGAGATTCGGAAGATGGGTTGAAACATGTAGCGGTGTTTTGAAGGCAATACGGCAATCTTGAGTGTATTTTTACCAATCTCATCATTTGTGCGATACTGCTCGTTAGCGGCATATCAAAACCAGATATTGAGAAAAGCATAAGAAGATGCAATGGACGAAATTGCTGTTTGATGGTGAGCATAGAAGGCCACACCGAAGCACTAATCCCAAGTAGACTTAACCTCGGAGAAGAAAATAATCTGCGTTTGTTGACTATCGCAGATGGTTTACTGAGCTCTATTAAACATACAACATGTCTAATTAATAGCTAAACTCTCTCGTCACATTTGCTCCGTCCGTTCCCAATTGCCGTATCTTCTTGTTACGCCATTGGTAGTAAAAGCGCAAGCCGACACATCCAATAGCAACCATTATCAGCATCGCAAAATTGGTCCAATGCCCTGTCGGATATCCTGACTTCTTCTCGTTTGCTTTGTATATCCATACGCCAACAATCTGGCCGGGAGCACCCCAAGAAACATTGAGCGCGATCGCCAGTCCTGTCGCAGCAGTGCTTTGCATGTTGGCGCTCAACCAGCCTAGTAGTGGTGGAATACACGAGAATGCACCGCTAGCCGCAACGATCAAACATCCATATCGCGCATGGAAGGAGTCAGCAGGGAGAAGTGCGGACGCAAGAAAGCCGATTGCACCGATGGTGGATAAGGCGGCAGCATGCAATGCACGGGCATTGAAATAGTCCGATGACCAAGCAGTGATGATAGAAACTACATACGCAACTGCATATGGAGGAACTGTCATGAGCTGGGCCTGAAGATTCTCGTATCCCAAGCCGGCAGTAATGGTCGGAGTGAAGAGCGATAGCGAGCTGAATGGTGCAGAAATACCAAAGTAAACGATGTAATGCACCCAGAGACGGCTTTCGAGTAGTGTTTCCTTTGCTGTCTTCCAGGTGAGCGGAGGCGCATTACCCTTTGAGCCCTCATTTTCCAAACGTGCAACAGCCAGTTCTCGTTCGGATGTCGATAGCCATGATGCTTCTTCAGGATAGTCTGGCAAAAGTAGCCATACCGCAACCGATGAGACGCACGAAGGAATTCCCTCCAATATGAACAACCACCTCCAGGCAGAAAGGCCGTGTACCATTTTCATGTGCCCTACCCCATAAGCGATCGCGCCGCCGAACGCCCCCGCCAACGTCGCGCTCGCCAAAATGATCGCAACACGGATACTTCTTTCGTGCGCACGATACCAAAACGTGAGATAGTATACCAAGCCGGGGAATAGGCCTGCTTCAAACATACCCAGGACAAAACGAACCGCAGCGACAGTGGCATAGTTGTTCGCACCACCAAGTCCGATTGTGCAAGCGCCCCATCCAAACATAAGCAAGGCTATCCACCGGCTCGGCTTGAATTTCTTTAGGAAATAGTTGCTCGGCACTTCGAACACGGCGTAGGCAACGAGGAAGACCATGAGGGCGATTGTAAACTGGTAGTTGGTCATGTGCGCTTCTTGCAGGAGGGAGTGCCCTTCGTTGGCGTTGAGGGTTTTGGCATTGCCGATGTTGGAGCGGTCGAGAAAGCAAAGGAGGTAAATCGCAGCGCACAAAGGAATGATGCGCAGATCTTGTTTCCATATCAAAGCCCGGACAGCCGCAGAGTTTGTTTCTTCGATGGCATCGATGTTTTGAGTGTCCTAGGTTTCGAGTTAGATTTGTAATCGCATTAGAATCTAATCGTCGTGCTTACTGTGTATTTGTCTGATACCTCGCCGTGCTTCTCTGGGTCGTGCTGGAAAGCCATTTTCTGGGTTTCTCCTGTGAGACACGGTGTGAGAATACAAATCCGAGCGCTGCAAGAAAAATGGGAAGTCAAGGACTATAGCACGTACTTAAGCACCACCAAGCAATGCTTAGTTCGCTTATGTGCATCCGTGCCTAAGTTGCGGATTTGTTGATCCTTTGAATTAACGCATTATGGTAGGGATACACACCGCTAACTTGTATGTGGAGATCGTTCCGCAGCAAAGCTGTGACATGGCTGGTTGGACCCCGCATACTATACCTAACCGTCGCTTGCCGTTCGCCTTTGCTCCACACCCTTCGGGAATTGAAAACTGTCCACATTGTATCCCAATCACATGCAGGTATGCCGAAAGGTCAGATGCCCCGGCGGATAAATCAGAGTCGTGCTATGGCAATCTACGCGGTTGGGCTCCCTGCAAGAAGGAAACCGTGTACTCCTGCGCAAACTAATATCTTTGATAATACCAGCAGAATGAACAGGAGTAATAATAGAGACGTATACTCCTTGTTGTTGTTCCACTGAAATTACTTCTCTTAGACATTAATAGAGCTCTTTTGGCGTCTTGACTAGATACGTTCCATTATTTTGGTGCTGTTGTGTGGTGATGTTGTACACTACCCCGACTATTGCAGTTGAAATAAAGTTCACATATCCGCTTTTTTTGACTTTTCCCATTTCTTTTGGTGCTATTAAACCGCCATCGTATGTGAAATTAGAGTGCAGCTTCTTCCATCCCTACAACTGCCAGGAAAATTAATCAGTCGAGAGGCTTGGTTGACTCGACCTTGATTAGACTGATATTTACGTGTTCCAGGTGATGTGTTTCGAGCTTCTAATTGATCTGGTTTTTGTTTCGAATTAAACAGCGGATAGAAACCACATTTATTAAATAGAATCTACAGTAGAAACTGCGTAGCTAGTTACTGCCTTTCCTGCTGCTGATTTGATGAGTCACGTGAATAGTCACATGATTGTACACGGCAGTGATATGATGCCTTTACTTCACCTCGACTCCAATATGTGTGCTTCCTGCCTATACACTCATGGTAAATATGATTTCTGTATGTGTAAGAGAATTGCAGTGAAGAGGTTGAACGAATATTAGAAGAAAAGGACATATGATATCCAACGGAAGTTCAATAATAGGTTAACAAACGCCAAGTTAGCTGATAGTGCCCAGGAATTCCAACAAGAAATATCAGTTATACAGCGTCATACCATAATACAAGAAACTGAATCAAGTGCATCATAGCGACCTTGTCCCCTTGTCAACACTAGCGGTGAAACTGGTGTACATTTGCTAACAAAAGCAAATCAACCTTCCAATTTGTCCACGTCTTCACACAGAGACTTGAATAACTTGGCCAACTCACCGCTGTCAAATTCGGACATGGTAGTTGCGGAATGTATGTAAAAAACGATAGGAGAAATACTTGGACTAGCTGAATGGAGAGTTCAGACTGCAAGGCTACTACCAAGGCAGTATCAACGACTTCAAAACTGCAAATAGCCCTTGTATGTACAGCAGCCAGAATCCATATTCAAAATGGATCTCGAGCGTCGCCAGGCATACCCGACTGGATCAGGATGGTGTTGTGGAGAAGAGCTAGCATTGTAAGGGCCACAAAAGGCTAGTGCAGGAGCTAATGCATAAACGTGACCAACAAGAATGACGTTGGTAACAGGGTCCAAGCTCCGCCCCAGCCTCACATGGAGTCGCAGCCGCTATCTCTAGACGCCAACCTGAACCAACGAGCAGAGCTCCACATTCCTCCTCCACAACTATCTCCAAACCCTTTCCTCAACTGCAGGACTGTCATTTTGAAGTTACTTCTCACGCGCCCCTCGTCCAATCGCTGCCAGCCACCGCCGCCATGCAGCTCACCACGCTCTTCGTTGCCGCGCTGAGCGCCGTCTCTGTCTCCGCCTCGCCTTCGTGGATGGGAGGCGACCAAGTCGTTGTAAAGGAAGAGTACAAGGTGCCGGGCGATAACCCACTGTACTTTTGCGGCAACCCGGCCGATGACATCCTTACCATCGAGAAGGTCGACCTTAGCCCCAACCCTCCCCAGCCGTACGTGCCTCCATCTCAACGTCTCCCAGCCTCACCTGTCGCGACGCTTTGGTAGCGGGGAATCTTGTAAATTGGGACTAACGCGTGTACAGTGGGCAGACGCTCAGCATCAAAGCCACGGGAAACTTCAAGCAGGAGGTTGGCGAGGGTTTTAAGATGCACCTCCAGGTCAAGTATGGCATTATCACGCTTATCAACCAGAACGCCGATGGATGCGACACCATCAAGAAGGGGGATCTTGACTGCCCGCTCAAGAAGGGCGAAATGAGCCTGACCAAGGATGTTGATCTGCCCAGGGAGATTCCTCCGGTGCGCCCCCTGAATCCTTCTTGGACACTACAAGACGATGCTAACAGTACCATAGGGTCAATACACCGTTCTTGCTGATGTATTCACGGAGGATGGGGAAAAGATCACCTGCCTCACCGCCAAGGTTGCATTCCACCGGTAAATGTCACCAAATTTACTTGGACACCATCACACACGACGAGCAACAACGGTGTCTGATATTCAACGATGCAGAGGAGGGACGGAGGAGAAGACTGCCAACAGTGGTGGCAACATCAAGTTTGGTGAGCCACGAGTGCAAATGTCTGGACCCTTAGCAGACATGGTGCGGGAGCGGTTACGACGAAGGAACGAGCTGTGAGAATGATACGAGCTATTCATTTGGTAAACGCGCAATGTCAGTGCTGTATTGGGTTTGGCGCATGGTTTGGATTTGTTGTCAAGTTTCTGGGCCACGCTTAATGTAGATATGATTGATATGCATCCGTGTATGGCATTTTGGGCTGTTTCAACTTGATGGATATCATTCCTCAACTATTTCTACGTGATATGCATGCGCAAATCAGCATCTAGCTAATATGGCTCGTGCTAGTACCATTGCTTGCATGATACGTTGTGTACATTCGACTGGCTAATGCTCCCCCAAGCATCTCTACTCTCCGAACAATCTCCTGACGCGCTTCAGCACACTATCCTTCTCAGGGTCATAGGGGTGATCCTTGGACGGAATCTCAAGCAGCGAGGGGAAGGCGGCGGTGTAGCTCTCAACACGGTGTCGTATCCTCTCGGCAATCTAGCGCTTGTCAGCCTATTGCTAAACCCAACTTTGCAATCGCATGATGCAGCGACATGCTCGCAAACGGCCAGCGATTCAACGTACATGCTGGTTAATAAGCAGAATGGCAATGTCCTTGCGCTCGTTGGTGAAGCGATCGAAGGCGGCTTCGATGGCCGACGTTTCGGTCTTGCCGTCCACAACCAAAAAGTTCTTTTGGCTGTCTGGCGGCTGGGTAACGTGCTGTAACATTCATTAGACTTTTACACCATTGCGATATTCAAAGAGAGTTATAGCATACGCCTACGCCCGCGAGCAACATGCCAGTGCAAGTGTCCTGCAAACAGTCAGTCAGCTTCCCGGAGACACTCAGTCAAAGGGCACATGATGTACGCACCTCATCGCCGATAACAGCGAGGAACTGTCTGTCCTTGTATTGCGCTGCCGGTGCTGCCATGGCGGGATGTGTTTGGAGGGCAGCTGTGGTGAGGTCGGAGCTTGGCTGGGGAAGCTGCACGCCGTCGTCATGGGGCGCTAGTCCATGTTTGGCCAAATGTTTTGGGCCCTTATTCCGAGTTCTTTCTCCCTCCTCCTTTCACTTTAAACCACAAAGCCATGTCGTGACACTCGACGCCGCTTCACACTCCTTTTACTTCTTCAACTTCTTTTGCTAGCCGGCGACACTTCAGCGCCGCTGCTATTATAATACTTCTTCCGCCACCATGCCCCGTCTCGTGCGCCGCGCGCCGCTCGCCGAACGCATCAAAGCATACACCGACCCTTCCGACTGGCTCATCTGGATCTCGGAAGAACTCAACAGTTCTGACTGGGAAGACTTTGCGTCGTCGTACTCCCTCTATATCGGCTTTGGCGCGAATCTACTTTTTGTCCTCGCGCAGGCAAACAACGGCGCATCCGCCGCCTCAGATGATGATGGTGTCTTCAACGAGGTCGAAGGTCCCGGATGGCTCAAATCAACACTGAGTTTGTTAGTCATGATTTTGGGTGGAATAAGCTTCGTAAACGCATGGCTCGTTTGGGGAAAGAGGCGGTACTACCGCCTGTTTGAACAAAAGGTGGACGTGGCGCCGCGGACACCCAGCGCGAAGCGCGTTCGTGTCGACTCATCTCCTGCTGCTGCGAGTCCAATGCAGTTCGTGAGAAACCTGGTACAAAACAATGCTGCAGACAGGGCGCATCCTATAGAGGGCCGAGACGTTTGGGAGGTCGCAGTTTGGGACCCCAACCCGCTGTGCCTTAAACTGTTTTGCCTCTTTAGCCCTCTTCATGTGGTGCTTTATTATTTCAACCTTCCTGTTGGCCCCTTGGATCCGAGCCCGAGTGTGAGGGTCACAACGACTATTCTGATTGGAGCGGTGCTGTCGCTACAGCTGTGGTGGCTGCAAAGCTCCTTTTCCCAACAGATCAAGGACAACGCTCTGATCAGTCGCCAAGTGCTTCACGAGTATGACAGCAAGTTTGTGCACCCATCGTTGCAGAAGCCATGTAGGGACGTGGGCGTTCAGACCATTTCAAAGAATCGGAATCAGGATTCAAGCGTCGGTGTCAAGGGCAGCAGTGATGACCTAGCGAGCGAAATTGTTACCTACACACCCAAGACTGTCATCAATCGCACTTTTCGCACAAATCCGAACGCCAGCTACGCCTCACAGTACGATCCCGATAACGCTCGTTCCACCTCTAACACACCTTCACTCCGCCGACGAGACAGCAACCCGCCATACGCAACCACATCTACAGGAACTGACGCCGATATCTTTTCTCCCATCCGTTCCTCGCAACCACCAAACCCCTTCCGCCAAGCCCCCACCATATCCCGAACCAGCATTGACACCAAAGTCAACGACGGAGGATATCTCGGGATCAACACACATGCTGCATCTCCGCTAAGGAAATCCACTAGCGCGGCTTTCGGGAGGGATGGTGAGCGGAGCGCGAATCGAGGAAGGGATAGTCTTGGCGGTGCATTTGAGCGGAGAGCTAGCCCAAGTAAGAAGGACGTTAGTCCGTTGAAACGTATCAGTTTAGGTAATGCAGAGAGGGAACGTAGTGAGCGATCGCTAGGTCAGACGGATAGACTTGGTAGGAGTACTGGATTTGGTGGATTGAACTTAGGAAAGCGAGAAGGTGGGCGCTATTAACGTTTTGAAATGGAAATTCATATTTACGGAATTCTTTTTATTTTATTTTTGATCAACTGGCAAGATCTGGTATGCCGATAAGTCTGTATCTGTGACATTTTCAGGTGTTTGCTATATTTTTTGGCTCAAATGGAACCTGTGTGTCCGTGTTGCCGCAATAACTTCATTAAATGTCGCCATGTCGGCACTTCTAGGGTATACCTCTCACTCATTATTCGGCATCGTCGCATCCTCCCCTCAAATAACACTATCAACATTCCCCTCTGTTAATAAATCCCTCATCAGGATCTCTATACATGCATCTACGCATAGATGCATAGTCACACCACCCTACCCTACTCTACCCCTCCTGTCAAACCGATCCGATCCGATCACATGTTGCAAATGCCAAAGGCGGACAATCAGAGAGGGAAACGAAAAGGGCTGGCATGATTGGCCAAACGGCTCGTTTAACGCTTAGCGAAAGCACAGGCATTTGGTGTGGGGGGGAGGGGGTATGGGGTGGAGAAGACCCTGGTTTGCATTTATCGAGTTTAAATGAAGGGCTGCGATAAGAAAGAGTGGCGAGATCGAGATTGATGGGGGTTTGATGACGACTTGGAAAACCTTGAGAAGGAAGAGAGATAGGAAGCTGTTTCTAATGGGGGGTTTTCTTTGTATTGGATTGTTGTTCTTTGTGAGGGTGAGGGAGGGAGAGGGGGCAAACTCAGTGTAATGCCTAAGCTAGTCTTAGTACGATATACTAAGTTGGCTTAGTAGCCAAATCGGAACACTACCAAAAAGGCGTTTTGGTGGGGCACCCAAAAACATCACTTGATAATCAAGTATGCAGAGAGAGAGAGAGAGAGAGCGAAACAAAAATTTTTTTTTCCAACACACAATGCGATTTCGTAGCTACATAAAGGAAAAAAATAAGGCACAGACAAAAATAATTGTGGGAGGCTAGACGTATTTACAAGATGCCGTCACCGAAATTAAGGAGGGAGAAGAGGTAAAGTAAAAAAAAAAAAAAGCAAAGTCCATCATCCCCGTTTCCCTCCCCCTTCAGGGCCTCCCCCATACCATACTCATGAAAGGCGTTGCTCTTTTCATATCCAAAGTCAAATGTTTCCAAATCATATCCAACTCGCTTTCATGTGTACGCTTAAGCGTTCTGGTCGATGAAGCTGCGGAGGGAGCCGACGCGGGAGTAGACACCGGGAAGGTTAGGGCGAGCACAGCCAGAACCCCAGGAGACAATACCGACGAGGGTCTTGCTGGCATCGACGAGAGGGCCGCCAGAGTCACCCTGGCAAGAGTCGCGGCCACCAGCAGCGACACCGGCGCAAACCATGTTGGTGGTGACGGTGAGGCCAACAGCGTTGTAGTTGGACACGCAAGTGCTGCGGGCAACAACGGGGACGCTGACCTTAAGGAGGGAGGTCGAGGCGCCGCCACCCTCACGGGTAGCTCCCCATCCAGCAACGGAGACGGTGGATCCGCTGGCGGGGTCAGAGCCAGAAGCGGCGAGGGAAGCAAAGCCAATGTTGCCACCGGCGGTGACAGTGCTGGAGAGCTTCCAGACGGCAACGTCGTTGTTGGAGGTGCTTGCTTGGTAGCTGGGGTGGATGACGATGCGGGAGACGCGGACGACAGTGCCACCGGAGGTGGAGCTCTGTTTCGAACTTGTGTTAGTCTCTCTTTCTTTTTCCCAGTCGATAGAGTACTAAATCAGATGAATGAACTTACCAAAGAGCCAACACGGACAGCGGTGTTGGAGACGGAACCAATGACGCTGCTGACGGAGCAGTGGGCAGCGGTGACAACGGTGTTGCCGTTGATGAGGGTACCACCGCAGACGTGGCGGCCACCGACCTGGAGAGAGACGATGAAGGGGTACTCGCCGGCAGCAGCGGTGGTTCCACCAACAATGTTCTCCTCAGGAACGTCGTCCCACTGGGGAGTAGGAGCGGAGAGGACGAGCGCAGGAAGCGCAGCAGCGAGCATAGACTGGAAACGCATGGTGAATGATGGGCTTTGCAAAGGCAGCGACTGTTGGAGAGAAGCGATGGAATGGTTTGAAGAGACAAGCGACTGGATGAGCTGGCTGATGATGATTACAGAGGGCAGATTGCTGGATACTTATAGAGCACGTCGTCGTCGGTCATCGACACTCCAATGGTTGTGTAGATGCTAGAAGGCCGACCTTGTCATGGCGTGCTTTAGGGAATACCAAGACTGATCTACTGGGAGTATGATTTGTCCTTCCAGTTTGGGACCTATTATGGCTTGGCAAAGTCTTAACCTGTAGTCCGCCGTGTGCCTTAGATCAAGCAGTGGGGACCAATTACCCCGAGCCTAGCAGGTGCCTTATCTACGCGCGGTTTTAAGCTTTTCCCAATGGATTCCATGCGTCGATGCCAAAAGAGGCAGCTGATCCAGCGGTTGCTCCCGAATGCTAGGATCACGGGCGTGTTGTGCGTCACAGTTGCAGCCTGCACGCTGTGCGTCTCCGGGCGTCGTTGTTGCTTTTCTGCCACGGCTGGTAGAGCGCAGCTGCGTACAGTAGTATACATGGTGATAGGGCAAGTCTAACACCTGCAATTGCAGCTTGTCAGCTGGTTGTAATTACAGCTTCCGGATAGCGGTAGCGCTCCAATGCTACGCTGTGCCCGAGAGAGCAGGAGATGGGGATTTTGCATTGCCTGCCAAGGCAGTACACAGTTCGTATCCCCATTTCAACATCCCGACACAGTAAGGCACTGTCTAGGCGATCTCCAACGGGGGTTTGTGGGCGCATTTAGTCGCTGCTGCAATATTATCTTGCTGTGCAACAGGCTGAATTGTGCTGGGGACGTCTAGTTTACGCCTGCTGCAACGCGACGATCTGCCACATCAGGCGCGGATACCGAAGAAAAAGCATTGACGGGGGTTCTGTGACACTTGGCCATGGACGAACCACGATGCAAGCTGTATATTGGCCGACATGGTGGGCAGGGGACACCAGTGGCCTACGGGCTTTGTATGCCCCAAGTCAAAAGCAAGGCAGAAAGGACCTGCCACATGGGATTCGCTCGCAGGGCCCGCTGGCGAGCAGCGTAGGGCTTGGCGGTTGCCGGATACAGATGGCCGTTGTTCGGAGGCGCACAAGATTGCAGGGCTGATTGGGAGAGATGGCGAGGTTGAGGTGGTCGGATGGAGGCCAGGAGAGGCAGGAGGCGTGGTAGGACTGTGGCACGCAGAGTAGAGGGCGGAGCCTCGCGGCTTGGCAGTGGGTGCGTGAGCCGGGGATACACCCCAAACACAGCACTGATCATCGCAACAGCGCTTACTACCCCCGTGCCCCCCATTGCTCGAATACCACAAGTAGTATGATGATCAAGCATCTACTACAACGCCCGTGTATGTGCGTGCATTCGTAGAACAATCTCTCCCGCAAAACACATTGCCCTGACAGCGCCGAGGCCCGGCAGCCGGCAGGCGGTACGACGTTTTACTTACGCCGCTCGATAACGTCACTGCACATCAGCTGGCTGCCTGTTGCTTTTTGGCTCTGGCATCGTGTCTCGTCACTTGCATTGGCTTGTCTGGGGAACATAACCGTCGCATGCACGTGTCAGCGCTGTCTTCAGCCGCATCCAGCATTTGTCCGTACCTGCGCTGTTCCATCGTCTCGCCCTCCTATAGAACAGCAGTAGCAGACGAGCTTGTTGCATGAGGTCGCCCCCCGCCATCCCACCATCCACTGCTAGTAAACACCACCCCACTCCAGCTCCTCCAGCGCAACTCCCACGAATGCCCTCCGAAGCAAAGCAACGCCGCACGTTAATTTGGCTCGTCGGACTACTCTTCCTGATTCTGATCTCGCTGCATCTTTACGCTGCAAAAGCAATGGACTCGCTCCCCGCCCCCTTCGCCATCGAAATCGACGGCAGCCCCATCTCCAAGCCCGCCTCGGACTCCCAAGACCAGACCCATGCATCCACTGGTGCGGAGCCTGCCGTCTTCGAGCTCAAGAACAAGCGTCTTCAGTGCGACGGCCATGTCCTTGCCCGAGCTTTGGCCGAAGATCGCAGCTTCGCCCCAAAGAAAGTATGGTGGTTCAAAGCCAACACGGCCAAGCCGATACACGATGTCGTTGCCAACAAAGACGGTGACTCGTACCAGCTCCAGTTTTCAGGTATGCATATTTTGCTGTGGCGGTGCAGAATATCGTCCCTGTCTCCCAAGTTCCGGCTAACAATAAGCAGGCGCTGGCTTGATGGCCGAAAGTGGAAATGTTTATGCGGACATCATGGGCGGTGAGTCGTGTGCCTTTCAATACATCTGAAACCAGGTACTGACTCCTTCAACAGTCAACGGCGCCAAAGTGGTCCTCAAGATGCAGTCTTGACCTTTGTTCCTTCCTGCCCGCTACCAGGGCTTCCTCATGTTTTTTTTTGCAATGTCACGTGGTGCTTTGTAGAGTGCCTGTGCTTGAACAAGTACATACGCATGTAGTACCTTCTGTGAATACCATAGTACGGTACAAGTGACGTACTTCTCGTTGCGCGTACCACCAAATAATTCTTCGAGAAAAAGAAAATAGCACAATTGATACTAGTTCCTTTGTGTTTCTTTTGTATGTTTCAGTTTGTTGTTCATGTACACGCGCACGTGAACCCTTTCTTCATATTGTAGATGGATCGATCGGAAAATCGATACTCCGCCAATGAGATCGCAATCGGTCTCTTGAAACAAAAATTACTAAAAAAAAAGTGTTCGGCCAAATGGGGCACAAGATTGGTTTTCCGCGAATGACGCACAATAGGTAATGCCAAGCTCAATCCTGTAACATTGTACTGTCAATACCGTAAGTTTTGATGTTGTTGTTTTTTTTTTACTTTCTCCTCGTAATTATGACCCCTGCCCCCGGTGGAGACATGCCCAACTGCACCTTCCTTTTGCATGTGAAATTTTACAACGGAATAAAGTATGAAATACAGTGACACCTGAGTTTAGTGTGTTTAGTATGACGCATGTCACTATGCTCGTACCTACATATGATTATTTTTGCGAGCCCTATACAATCAGCAGATAGTAACCATGTCGAGTCCAAGTCTAGACTCATGAGTAATCGGTACCAAATCGTATGGCCCATTTTAACTCCTCTAATCCCAAACTTTCTCTATATGTCGTGGCATGGTCATCATTATGCCCCCAAGTCCCCTTCATCCAATCAGGCACCTGGCTCTCTCTGAGGACAATCCGTACAATCTCCGTGCCCTGTATGTAGTTCACAATTTGTAGTCGCACTTGCGTAATGATGTGCTGCTTGATATATCGAACCCAAGTTACGTTGGGGTTGTAGATGAGTGTTGATATAGAGTTTCGGTCTTCTGCAGTGACTTTGGGATGTACTGAAATAAGATTGAACGTGTACATGGGAAAGCGCAGGTGAAATTTGATCACTGGGAGTATGTCCACATCGGCCAGTGAGTCTATGTTCAGCCAAATCCTCAAACTACCCCCGGGGTGGTAATAGCGTGCAACGCGTTGTCTGATTTGATCGCTTGCCTGGTTTGCCCGGAGCGGAGGGGGGAAAAACGCTTTGAAGTATCCACCTAGGGCAAACAAAGGGAAGCGGTGCGTCGATAACCAGAGCGGGCGGAACTCCTTTCTGATAAGTGTACAAGTTTGTGTCAGGCCGATGAATGGGAACGGTTTGTGAGGAGGTCGCCGGACTTCGTGATCGGGTCGTAGGCCCCTGCGCCGAGACGACATTGACTTTGGATATGTGTCTGGGAATGTCTGTGTACTTGTTTCTGCAACAACCTCGTATATACGATTCCGAATTTCTGAGTGCTGTCAGTATTTTCGAGATTGAATAAATCACGTGCTAATTACCCCCTGGCAAATCCAAGAATCTGAACATCTGGCTTGAATCCATAGCCTGCGCTTGCTCTAATATTTCTGTCTCTACTGTGACTTTCCCTGTACAATCTATGCTCGGAATATTGATTTTAGGGCGCTTATTTGGATACTTTTCTATGACCTCTTGTACAGAGCGTTTCTTATTTGCTGTTGCAGTTGATTTCTTGAACCCTTTGCGGGGCCTTGAACTCACAAATTAGTAACTACAATATGACACAGCTGATGAGATGCCCTGATTAGACTCACATTTCGATGACAAAGACAAAACGTTGTTGTAGAGAAGTGCGTGGAGGTGGACCAAAGGAGTGAGGTTGTATATGGGTGCGTCGGTTGAGTGCTAGCGTTGGAAGAAGGTGGAGATGAGGCCTAATTGAATCGTACCTATTGGTCAAGCATCATGTTTTAGTTGTGCGGCTCTCATTGGTTGGGCACCACAGAGTCTTGACAGCTTGAAAGCACCAAAACCACCACACTGTTCGAAAACAAGAGAACACGATGGGAGTCAATTTCCCTACTAACGATGTCGTTGTTCGGAGCTCACAACAGCTTATCATATACAATTTTGGACATGATGAGTTGTTCATACGAGCAAAGGCGCTAACTCGGGAAGATAATGCCTAATGAAGCCAGCAGACGCAAAACCATTGGATGGACAACAGTAAAACATTACTCCAGTAATCAAGTCTTGGTCAGGGGTTTGTTTTTTCAGATAACATTCATAGGCATTGGACGCTGTTGCTATTCGCTTCAAGTCACTGTAATATCCCCCGGCATCTTGACCAGCCAGTTCTCCCAAAATCTGAACCCATCAATTCCCTGCTCTCGACAGAGCGCACCCGCTTCTTCAGCCATTTCCAGCTCTTCTGTCGCGACGCCAACACTCCAACCAAATCTTTCAGCTGTCTCTTGCGCTGTTACGCCCCTGCCGAATGCCTGCCAATCCCATGTGACTTCCATGCTGTGAGGCTCTTGGTGGAGGGTCTTGAACCAAGCCAGAAGACTGGCAATGGTTTTCTCGTCAGTACGATCACGACCTTGTACAACTAGAAGACCGCTCTTGAATTGCCTTAGGCGCACTGGCAATTTCAACGTATCCCACATGCGTGCTGCCTTCTCAAAATCTGAGGGACTAACAAGCTCCACACCGCCCCTTGCACGATTAAAGACGGCCCAAAGATCCACAAGCGTCATGATTCCACCTTCTTTTCGCAGGATACCATGCGTGTCATCCGTAAGCCACTCGGCCAGATTTCTCGAAAGCTCCGACACATACAGTGACTCGGAACCTGACCCGGAACCAAGCATGTCCTTTGTCGTAACGAGACCTAGTGCAGATGCCGACTGGGATGCTAATGCGTTTGCTTCAGAGCTGCTATTTGTGCCCAAGTTGGCCTGTGATGCAAACTGTTCTGCAAGAGCAATAATCTCTTTTGCCGATGTCATTAGAGCCTCAAGGTCCTCAAAGGCGCTGCCTATCATGGCCTCGTTGTTCTGTCTCTGCTCTAGCCCGCGTCGTTCCAAGCCCGCAATACCAACAACTCGAGGCCGTTCAGATTCTATAGACGAAGCGTCGGATTGTATATTGTAGCCATCATCAGCTAAAACAGAGGCTATCCGTGGCTTAGGAATTGGCGGGGCACTTTGGAGGAGCCACTTGCGCTGTACCAGTGCATTCTTTAGGCGCTCATAAAATATAGGCCCCCCGCCAGCACGGAAAGATAGCTTAATGCATTCGATGGTGTCGGACTGCAATGGTGATGACAGTGTTGGGCCTGGAGATTGGGATCTGGTGGGCTCCTGAAGTATGTCGAAGCGCTTGTCTACGGCCGTTGTCAGGGATGCACCGCAAATCTCGCAATTGAGTAGAGAAGGGTGGTTCTGGTAGGTGCAGCGAGGACATGCCGATGACGATGTTGTAGAAGCCGAAGGAGGAGGAGGGGTTCCATTCTTCACATCTTTCGGGGGCGGGCCAGGGGCTGGTCGATTCGACATGGCCGCTATGGCTGCCTTGACGACATGTACAGTCGGCGGCTTTATTCCGCAAGCCAGACATGGCGGTATGGGTGTGCGAGATGCGAGAGCAGGGTCGAAGTTGGAAGGCACGGGGTTGGAGAAGGAGCATATCGGGCACACCCATGTTGCGCTCGCAGGAGGTGGAGGCGCGGGGCTGCTGTGCCGCGGCGGAGTAGAAGAGGACGAGGCGGATGGCGTGGGAGCCAAAGGAGAAGCTCGCGACAGCTGCTTCAAGGGCTTCGGGTAGAGAGTTACCTTGGGCGACGACTTGAGAAAGCCAGCCTGTGTTGTTGTTAGTCATGGTGGTGTCCGTGGATCAAGTCATGGCCAGCGTACATAGAACTCTGGTTTCTCGACATCTTTCAGGAAAATTGCGACGGAGTTCTTGCGCGGCTCATTGTGGTCGACATAGCAGACGCGGTGTGAGGTCAGATAGGACTGCCCGTTTTGATACTCGGGTATTTTGAACTTCCTGTTCACATGTTCAGCAGCAGCGGATGAGCGCAATGTGTGGATACGCGTACCCCTCGTAGAGCCCTACAGCGTCTTGGACAAAAAGCAGCGTCTCCTCCGGCAGGAGCGACGGGCGCAGTGCGGTGGTGAGGTCGAGCTGGTGCAGGAACATTCAGACCATTTGTAAGTGAGCGTATGCAAGATACGGCCATAGCACTCCCATCGGGCGTCGTTTGACCTAATGCCCATTCCCCCAGTCCGGCAAGTCGTCATATCCCCGACGCCAAGCCTATAGCGGTTAGCACTATCTCAGCAGCCGCCAAGCAACAGCACCGTGCAAATCATTGTCGTCGAGTCGTCGCCTCGCCCTCACCCTCATTCATCCACGCCCACCCCATTTCCACACCCACATACTACATCTCCGCCGTCGTGCACCCCATTGATTCATCTTCTCCAACTCCACTGTGCACATACTCACGCTGTAGCCTTGTTCTTCGTCGCCCCCGTTTCCCTTACTCCCCTGTTCCATGTCCCTGCCCTCTGCCACTGTTGCGTGGGCGCGACCGATGCAGTCACCCGCCTACAACACCGTCACCCCTCGAACCACACTCCAGCCTGCCGCTCCACCCGCGTCTGTTAGTGTTCATCCTCCTCTGGCGACTTGTGCCTCCGCTCACACACGCCTACAGTCTGCCATGGCTCCTGAGCAGCCTAAGAAGAAAGTCGAGTGGCCGCCTGCCGTACGCGAGTACGTCCGACGTGCTTTCGACCCCGCCAACGCGATCCCGGGCATCTCGCAAGCAGAGATGCAGGCGAGACTCAAGGAAACCATCGGCTACTTCGCCGAGCGCAACTCACATGACAATGTACATTGGCCTACCTTTCCCCTGCCGCAGGAGCTTCTCCTCGAGGAACGGAGGGCAGCAGCGCTTAACGCATCTGCCAATGGCTTCGCGAACGGCATGCAACCTACATACGTAAATGGCACTGTCGACCACACTAACCAGAACACACCCCTTTCCAAAAAGCGCAATGCTCACGACGCTGAAGAAGTACCAGCCGAACAAGCGCAAGCCAGCGTCCCGCCATGGCGCAAGACTAACCTAGCATCTCGAATGACCTATGCCGATGGACACAGCGAAAAGCGCCAAAAGAAGAACGCAGTTACGGACGTCGCAAGTAAGTTAGACCAGACGGAGCTTGACAAGCGACGACAACGCTTTCAGCTCGGCAACAACGGTTCGAAATCGACGTCACCCTGGGGCTCATCACGCAAAGACGAAGATGAGATGCCCACTGGACCTGTAGTTGGAACCAACGAGAACCTTGAGAAGAGCTATTTCCGTCTGACTGCACCGCCGAAAGCTGAAACGGTACGCCCCCTGCATGTGCTCAAGAAGACGTTGGCCATGCTTGTGGAAAAATGGAAAGCAGAAAAGAATTACAATTACATTTGTAACCAGTTCAAGTCACTGCGCCAAGATCTGACTGTTCAACATATCAAGAATGCCTTTACGGTCAAGGTGTACGAGATCCATGCGCGGATCTCATTAGAAAAGGGGGACTTGGGTGAGTATAACCAGTGCCAGACGCAGCTCAAGGCACTGTATGCGCAGAACCTGGGGGGCAACCCAGCTGAGTTCAAGGCGTACCGTATTCTCTATTTTGTGTATACGTGCAATAAGACCGACATGAACGACATGTTGGCAGAATTAACCCTTGCAGACAAAGCACATCCATGGATCAAGCATGCACTTGACGTGCGATCATCACTTGCCCTTGGCAACTACCACAAGTTCTTTCGACTTTACCTCGAAGCCCAGAACATGGGCGCTTACCTGATGGACATGTTTGTCGAGCGTGAGCGCCTCAATGCTCTAGCTAACATTTCTCGCGGGTAAGCTTGATTGTTGTGCTTCAGGTTTTGCATGGTGGTTTATTGACAGGGTGCACAGATACGTAAATGTTTCTCTTCGTTTCCTGACTGATGAGCTTGGTTTCGACAATGATGCATCTTGCCGTGAATTTCTCGAAACGCACGGTGCGCAGAACACTATTGAAGACAAGGGCGATGGCCAGTACCGGGTCAGGATCCGCGAGGTGGCATCGCAAATCGAGAGCCTCCGTGCCGCCGCATTCAGCAAAGTAGACATCAAAGGACAAATATGAGCCGACTGGAGCGCAAGCGGTGCTTGCCGTCGTCAGCTGCACCCTTTAGATTACGAAATTCCCCCCCGATTGCTCTATATCCGTTACTACTACTAATTTGTATACTTATGGTTGTTTGCTTGATGCCTGGCGCCACGTGTGTCGTGGGGATTGCAGTGGCGGTAGCAAAGGCGGCGCCTGAAGGGGCGAGATTGGATGTTATTTGGGGGTGGGTGGTGGCTATCTATGTGTAGTGGGGATGCGGGAGACGGGTTCCATGCGCTAGATGCAAGGAAGTTTCTAGATGCTTTCTTTCTGTTACGGCCAAAGTTTCAGACGGGCTCCTGACTAGCCATGTTTTCTTAGTTGGGAAAACGGGATACGTCATTCGCGCCAATGGAAAACGCGGAATGGGGAATAAGATTGCGGGAAGAGAGGAGAAGGAGGGGACGAGGGTGTTGGTGACTGCAGGCCTGCTCGAAGCGTTTGTCTCAGCGGCATCCGGGTGGGTGCGGCAGGTGGCAGTGGGGTGGAGGCCGACGGGATGATCGAGGGCAGCTTCGGACTGTACCGGTGATCGACAGCCACTGCATCGGGATTGCAGACACAGGCACAGGCAGGGCTGCGAGCATTTGAGTTTGCTGTGGCTAGGAGAGCTCTTCTGTGGGACGAGAAGTTGCAGGCGCTGGGGCGTGGCCAATGAGGGGGCTCGAGGCATGTTTGGGCCTTTGATTCGGCCAGGCACAGGTGTCGAATGGCTGACGCTAGCTGCAGGCTCTTGTTGCAAAAGGGCAGACGGGGGGAGGGGGAGTGTTTGGTAGACAGCAGGCAGCAATGCATTGGTTGACGACGAGCGTGTGTGGCATGCGAGCACAAGGGTGGTGTGGTGATGCTGTAGGGCTCTGTGGGGACGTTGATCAAAAGCACCGAGTGTGGGTGTGGGTTCGCATGGGCACAATGACATGTTCATGCAACGCCGCAAGAAGAAGCAAGGGAGGCTGGCCATGGCCGGCGCGCCGGGGCAATGATTGGGCGTCTTGGGGACCTGCAGCCCGACGGTTGGCAGACAGCATGGCGTAGGCCCTGGACTCGCCTGGCGCCGTAGCCAGCCGTAGCCAGCCCATACACAGCCATCCTACACGGCCACGCCCGGTCACATGGCGTGCTGGCCTGCTGCCGCCCTGGCTCCGTGTCGTCAGTGGCCACAGCAGCGCAAATATACTAACACAGCTACTACGTATGTATGTACGTGCGTACAGACAGGGCCCGTCCCATCCATCCATCCATCCAGTCCAGTCCACATGGACGAGCAGGAAAAAAAGAGGGCAACCCTCGAGGCCCAGAGAGCCGCCTGCCAAGTCTCAGGTGGTGCAGGGCTGGGATCCCTTCGCCGTGAAAGCACCCACTCATTCCCTACCCTTTTGGCTACCCGCGCATCTTCTTGTCTGTACCTGGCGACAATCACCGTGCGCCTGCCCCAGAGGTTTTCCCTTTGCTCGTCGTCTTTTGCTCGTCGTCACCCTCCCGGACTGCGCGACTCGGCCTGTCCTTCACCCGCTGCACACTCGCCCCCGCACACGCCGCATCCCCGGTCGACAGTCATACACTCGTAGCCAGCCAGTCGGAGCCCTAAAGTTCCTGACACCTCCTGACTGCTCCTCACAGCACAACGCTCCCGCGTCTTCTGCGCATCCTCTCCTCCTCGTCCGCACCCCAAGATGAAGGTCAGTTGCTCCGTCTTTTTTGCTTTTGCCGCCACCACAGGTCCCCGCGCCTGCACCGCCTGCACCGCCTGCACCGGCGCCTGCACCGGCGCTGGGGGCATTGGCCGAGTCAAGGCGCGCATACATGCTAACGGTATTCTCTAGTTCCGCAGGAGTGTAAAGAGCGAAAAGGACACCCGCCCGCACCACATTTCGATTCCACCAAAGGATGCCATAGCCATTGTGCCCCCCAAGAAGGTACGTACCATCAAGCACATGCACTCGCGCCGCCAGACGTGACTGCCCATTGCCTCGACACTCACTCGCTGTTGCCTGTGCGGCTGCCATGCCATGACCGAGGCCAACCCGGCCCTCTTGCTTGGGCTGCACTGGTTGCGCGCGCAGGAGCATCAACAACCAGCCCTGCGCCCAAGACGTCCAAGCCGCTCGACGTTCGCCATTGCTCCAGGCGCTTTGTCCTGGTACCCGCTTCCCGATAGGGCAGATGAGCGCGAAGCTAACGGCGATCTCATTTCAGGTCATAAAAGCCCTCTACGATTACACGCCCACAGATACCAGCCCAAACTCTGTCTACCTTGCATTTTCCCAGGGTGACTTTCTGCACGTTGTCGGGCGTGAGGACGACAGCGACTGGTACGAAGCCTGCAACCCGCTGCACGGCACCCGTGGCCTCGTTCCCGTCTCATACTTTGAGGGCGTTGGCAAGACAGTGCGCGACAGTGCTGGCGCCCCCCCAGTGCCTCGCGCCACAACACAACAACCGCACGATTCCGGCTACCAAGAGCGCATCACAAGCCCGCAACCCTCTACCCAGGACATTATGACGCAGCAAATGCGCATGTCGCGCTCGGGAAAGACAGGCGCCATGGTCTATGGCGTCGTTATCTACGACTTCCACGCAGAGCGGCCCGACGAGCTCGAGGCCAAGGAGGGCGAGGCCATCATCGTCATCGCCCAGTCCAACCCTGAGTGGTTTGTCGCAAAACCTATCACCCGACTCGGCGGCCCCGGCCTGATACCCGTCTCTTTTATCGAGATCCGCGACATGACTACTGGGCAAGTAGTCACCGACACGCAGGCCGCCGTGACTGCTGCTGGTGTGCCCAAGGTCGAGGAGTGGAAGAAAATGGCTGCAGACTACAAGAACGGTAGCATTCCTCTCGGCAAGCTCGAAACAAACTCGGGCCAGTCGCTGCAACAAGGCATGGAGCGTTTGAGCGTACGCAGCCAAAATGGTGGCCACCAAAAGACCGGTTCGGTAGGTGGTGTGCACTCACCTCACGCACACGATACTGACCCTGTGCAGATCTCCCACTCGCGCAACGGCTCCATGGTGCAGACTCGAAATCCGCACCGCACATCCGACAACCTGCTCGCACCCATCAAGGCTTGTGTGCCGCGTTACTGCTTTGCTGACGATATCTTCTGGTTCATCATTGAGTGCCAGATGGAGGACGGCCGTCACTGGGAGTTGCAACGTTTGTACCAGGATTTCTACGACCTTCAGATACAGCTTATTGCCTCTTACCCCGTCGAGGCCGGTACAAGTGGCTCGGGAGAACGAACATTGCCATTCATGCCAGGCCCGGTAACCTACGTCACCGATAACATTTCCAACGGGCGCCGTGCCAACCTCGACGAGTACATCAAGAACCTGCTCAAGCTGGGCCCGCACATTACCCAGGGACACCTTGTCAAGGGTTTCTTTGCCCCACGACAAGGCGACTACGAAATCGACCCCGATGTTGTCGCTGCTGAAGAATACCGTTTGTCTCAACAGTCACACCAATCATCAACCCCCTCACATGGAGGAGCCAGCAGACAATCATCTGCCGACCAACTCCAAGCCACAACCCCGGTGACTCCTTTCTCGACTGGCTCAACCTATGCCTCGCACCAACGTGGTCCATCGACCGCCTCGCAAGCATACACAACAAACCTTAATCCACCGCCTATGAACCACTCACATTCGTCTGTCTCGACCGCCACCGGCACCGGTACATCGGCGCTCAAGATCAAAGTATGGTTCGAGGAAGACAACTGTGTCGTCATTCGCATGCCCATATCACTCAAGTTTGTGGACCTTTACAATAAGCTTGTTGAGAGGAGGAAGCTGGAGCGACCTGGCGAGGAAGAGGAGGAGCTGATTGTCGAGTACAAGGACGAGCAAGAAAATTACTTTTACCCGATTGAGAATGACGAGGACCTGCAGATTGCAGTGGAGCGTAATCCCAAGCTAACACTCAGTGTTACAACGAGGCGGTAATGGCGGAGTAAATGGTAAGACTTAGCATTTCTACTTCTTCTTCTTCTTCTTCTTCTTCTTCTTCTAATTCCCCAAGTTTTATTTCCTTTCGTGTATGGTAGCCCGTGCCATTTTGCAGTGGCTACCTTGGTCCGGCTACCTTGATCCCTGTCTTTTCCTTTGTTTTTTTCCTTTGTTCTTGTTACTTTCGGAGTTGCATAAGGGTCCATAGCTCGGGTGCGAACAGGTGTTTGCGGAGTCTGTGGGGCATTAAGTGCATGACGGCAAGCGGGTTCCTTTCTTTTCGGCCAGTCTTTTTGGTTTGATCTGCAACTATTTCATCGACACAGAGAGGAGGTGTTGAGGCTAGATTATATGAGGGTGGGCTTTGGATTGAGCAACATGTGGCGGATGAGCAATGATGGGGAGGCGAGGAATGATAAAAATGGTTTATCTATCCATTAGGTGTATTTGAAAAATTTCACTCCGCTCTAGTACTGTATGTGTGATGATGATGATGGTGTATTGTCTGAGAAGTGGGGAGTGGTGCACGTGCTCGAGTGCTGTAAGCCAAAGATGGGTGTAGGATGCCATACATATGCCTCAGCCGATACTAGCCATGAGCTCCGAGCTTGCGGTTTAATAGAGAATCGAATTGCTGCAGGCTGCGACATGGCTGGCCAATGATTGCGCAGAGAGGCCGACTCGGGAGGCTCTGCTCCGACGTCGGTGTCTGAAGTCCGGGGCGGATTCAGTGTTGGGCACCGCTAGACCCAGACATGTTCGTCAGTGGCTGCTCTTTCAAATCCCGCAACCTATTCACAACTCATTGTCTACTGCAGCTCTCACAGCCTGTGAGATTCTGCCTGCTTCACCTGCACCATACGGCCGCCTGTTACAAGGCTTCACGAGCGAAGACCCACAACCGGATCGTCTACCAGGGCCTTCACATGCAGCACAGAAAGAGAGAGTTTACCAACAAATGGGGGAAGCTGCAATGGGGGAGGAACAAGCCAGCGGTGTGAAGACACCTGTCACCACGGAGACCATATCCCAAGCCACGGTACCAAAAGTCGCAAGCCCTTCGATTGCGATTCCCAGACCAAAACTCGCAGTGCCGAGTATGCGCACGCCGACGACGAAGACGCCCACAGACACGCCGCGCGAATGGAACACGGCGAAACTGGGCATGCGCATGGGCGCAGACGTCCTCTCAGCTGGCGCAGCAGGCATCTTGGTTGCTCCCATCATTACTATGATAGACAAGGGCATCATCGAGAACGCCAGCGGCAGAAATACGCTGGGCGACAGCCTCAAGCAAAGCCTTGCGCAACTCGTCTCAAAACCGCACCGCTTCCTCTCCAGCAAACCTTTTGCCCTAATCTTCAGCCTTTACTTCGGCACCTACCTGACCGCCAACACCATCGACACCGCATCCGCAACGCTCAAACCCAGTCAGCCTTTACAGCAGCAAACCAGCGGCACCAGCAAATTCGTCGCTACCAGCTCCGCTAACCTCGCACTCTGTCTATACAAAGACAATCAATTCACCCGCCTCTTTGCAGCCCCAGGCTCCTCGCCCCGCCCCGTGCCCCTCCCCACCTTCGCCTTGTTCACCGTCCGCGACTGCCTTACCATCTTTGCTAGTTTCAATCTCCCGCCGCTCCTCGCGCCCGCGCTGCAAGAGCGCATGGGCGCGCAGCTGAATAGGTACGTGGGTGCGCTTAGCATAGCACAGTTTGTTACCCCGGCTGCGGTCCAGCTTGTTAGCACTCCCTTGCATTTGCTTGGCCTCGATTTGTACAACAGGCCCGGTGTGCTTGTTGGAGGTCGCGATGGCAGGGCTGCAAGGGTGCTTAGGGATTGGGGCAAGAGTGCTGCGGCGAGGATTTGCAGGATTGTGCCCGCGTTTGGGGTGGGTGGGGTGGTGAATACAAAGGTCAGGAGGGGGTTGATGGCGAGGTTGGAGGGGTGATGTGATGATTGTGTTTGTGAATGTTTTTTTGGACGTGTTTCGGGTTGGGATGGGATGGGGGGCCATATATAAATAGAGGAAAATCTCTTCTCTACGACTGAACCATTAGGCGAGGTTTGGATGTTATTCGCATTGCGTGGAGTTTAGCTAGGCGTTTTTGAGTGGGTTAGTTTATGGATCCAGATTTAAACACGCTTTGTAATATTAAATATAGTTAGCCCACTTTTGCAATTGAGGTTTACATTCGTTCAAACTGTATATCGAGCCTCGAGAATGGGGCTTGTAAGCTGATGATTTGATGCCTGCTGGTTTGGGGGTAAACTTAGGTTGACCTTGCTTTACTACAGCCTTCATCCCCTTCGAGTTAAAGGTAACCATTTGCTAGTCAACGTTATACAGCATTTGTACTATGATTGGGAGGAGTGTTTTTTCTTTTGCGGATAACTTGTCCTACATCTTACCTTGCCCTTTACGAATTCTCCCAGTTAGCCTCGGAAATCGACGAAATATGCCTAGCGCTTGTTCCACAATCAGCATCTTGAGTCACTATAGTCCTTGCCACCGTGTTGATGAATTTGGGTTACAAAGTAATTTCTCCTATCATTGCACATCAACGGCCAAGGCCAAGGGAAGATGTACATGATCGGGTTTCATTGGCGAGTCTCCTTTGGGTTGAGAACAAGGCTAGTCAAACTTTGGCTGGTTGATATCTGGTTTGCGAGATTGGGGGTAGTTGATATGGCTGTGGTAGGTATGTACAAGTGAAAATTTCAAGGAATGTATTTTTCGATACTAAAGAGTGATATTGAAGAGAAAAGAGGGGGGGGGGGGGGTGGGCGTGAACGTCGTAGAGCAGGTAGTATGTTTGGGGGGAGGAAAAGAGTAGGCAAGGGGGAGTAATGCGGATAAACTCGTATATCGTATGATACTACCAGTAAGTAGATATCAATCAATTTTTGCTTTTTTAGGGGCGCGTTTACTAGTGTAAATGAAGGTGATATTGCCGAATCAATAGAAAAAATGGTGGCTTGAACGACTTTAGACTTGGTTTACGGATTCCCCATCCGTATGCCCCTGCACAACCACATTCAAGCCCTGATGTAGAAAACGTCTTGATTTCAACTTGGCCGACACACTGTACCAAAAGCGGTAAACAACCACATGCAGTTCCCCTTACATATACATACATAACCCACGTGAGCATCCCATCAACGCACATCTCCAATCCTCCAATATCAACGCCACCTAAATACAAGGATATCCACACCCATACACCCATACACACACACACACACACACACATGCACGATCCTCCTTTCCCCTCAAAAACAAGCATAAAATAACGGGTAACAACCACGCATAGACACCGACCTGGCGGGTAAAAAATGGAAAAAGGATAAAAACGGGTATTGACATCATCGTCGATCTGCCGTGGCCTGCTTTTGCTGTTCCAGACCGCGGGGGGAGGACCTGCATTTGGGTTGTCATGCCGGCACATGTTTAATCTCGCTTGCGCCGCACCTTTTTTTTTATGCACACTTCGCGGGCGCACGGGTGGTGGAACTCGCGTGGCTTATTATACTAGCGAGGTGGAGGAAGTGGAGTGGAGTGGAGTGGAGGTTGGAACTAGTGTGCCTTTTTCTTGCCTTATTATCCGGTGTGTGAGTTTTGGTTGGCATTGGGATTATTGGGCGGGTGGAATTTGAGAGGTACGCGAATGGAAAGGGTAGAGACAGAGAGAGAGAGGGTGCGGTAAGGTGTAGCAGATTAGAAAGGCACCGGCGAAGAGAGATATTGACGTTTGTTCTTTCCGTTTACGAATCATCCATAAAAAATAGGGCAAGGACATTACATTATAGCTAGCGTAGTAGCTTAACACATACGATGACTACTACGCCTTTTCATTCCCGATAATCGCGCTACCGCCTCCCCTTGCCTCAGCCAGCAATTGCGTGCCGACGACCTCACCTGTAGTCTTGCTCTTGAACACACCGGATACAGAGAACAAGCCCATAAACGGCTCGTAGACGTATTCCTCCTCCCACACCTCCTGGCCCTTGTAGGTAACAGACTCGTTGAAGCCGTTGAACTTCATGCTGGTCAGGTAGTTGCCGACGACGGTGCTACCGGAGATAGCACCAGAGTTATCCATGGTCTGCTCGACAATGTCGCCGTTTTGAGCGAGAACACGGCGCTTGTGCGTGTTTCCCTCAAAGTTGTTGACAGAGTAGAGAATGTTGTTGCGGAGATCCCACTGGTGAAAGTCGAGGTCGCGCTTGGCTTTTGCTTGGGCAGTAGTCTGGTTGGTGCCGCTGTTTCCACCGCCGCTGATGCCGTCGGCGATTCCGCCTACGGCGTCGCCGACGTCGCCGACGATTTCACCAAGACCGTTGCCGAGCTCTGCGATGACGGGGTTGAGATCGATGCTGTCGAGGACGTCGCTGACCATTGATACGAGGTTGCCGAGACGGGCTTCAAGATAGACTTTTGCAGTCACGTTTTGGATGAGGAGCGAGACCTTGTCGATAGAGAGGTCGACGCCTGCGTTGAATTGAAGTAGCTGCAGTACTTGGGCGTCGAGATTGATCTTCGCGGTGAGGTTGTCGACACCGACGAAGATCTCGCCGACGTGGACCGAGGCATTGAGAAGAACATCCGGAATGGGGTTCAGAGCAGAGATGTTGGACGAAGATGTGTTTTCCGTCTCGTACAGCACCGCAGTTGGGTCGCCATCATCTCGCACGTCGAGCTTGTATCCCGTGTAGCCATCCGCAGCGGATTGAGCGACAGCAAGCCATGGCAGAGAAAGAAGCGTTAAGGAAGGAACAAGTGATAACCTCATCTTGACTTTGGTGTGTTATAAAAGAGAGACTTGAATTGGCCGCAAGGTCGAACGTCTACTACCCAAGAGAGAGAAAGAGGGTGAGAGATGGAAAGAAAAAGCGAACGACTTTTTTGCTCAGATTCAACAAGAGAGCAACGGGGGGCGAGACCAATGGGTTAACAACATCCCTTCCACACAATACTCGTGATGAGTTACATGCAGTAAGCCATCCCGGGCCCAGCATCCATAGCATGATCGCATTACCTGCTCCACACCATTTTTCCCCACTCGCTTTACCTAGTCCCTCCCCCAGTGCAGAAGCAAAGAAGAAAAAATAAGATTAAGGAGAAATCCTAGCCAGACCGCCTCCAATTCGATGCCAAAAAAATCAGGATTTTTGGGCGCACATGGGAATCCAAGACTTTTTGGCATGCGGGGGGGGCACGCGCGTTCCAGATGGTGCCCGTTGTCCGTTGGTTGCGTCCTTGATCACAACCCTGCACATCGACTGCATAGGGGGTTTTTATCCGAGATTACTATAACGGGAAATCCTGGTCGTTAACAACACTTCCCAACTCATGCATGAGCGTAACCGCTTTTCTTTCTTGATTTTCCTGACTAAACCGGGAAGGAAGCGGGGGCATTGACCTTCACCAGCGTTTGTGCTAGGGTTGGTGCATGGGACCAAAAAAGAAAAAGAAACGGTTACTTGTATAGGACGTTGTGTCTCTCTCCACCATTTCTTCGTGGCTCTGCTTGTTCGCTTGCTGCTTCACCTTTTTTTTGGCTTTGCTCCCTCAAGATGTCGTCGTCGTCATTCTCTTTCCGTCTACTGCTCATCAGCATTCTTCTTACTTTTGCCACGTTCGTTACCGCGCAGACGTCATCTGCGGTGCCTTCGACTCCTCCGCCTACAAGCAGTAATCGTCCGTCCGTCAATGGCACCACGACCAGACCCCCCGAGGTTGCGCCTACGGGATCTGATCCCCCAGATGTGCTGCTCCGCGTTCCAGAGCTGCATGTAGGCCGTATTGAATTGACTGTCGAGAAACTTCAAGCCGATCTTAACCTCAATGCCAAAGTCGCGGGGCTCGTCCAGATCAACGCTGGTGTGCAAGTCGGCATTGAGAAGGTCAACATTACCATTGCTGATGTCGATGTCAACCTCGAGCTCGTCGTGCGTCTGGGCAACTTGGTCCAGATTGTTGAGCGTGTGTTTGACTCTTTGGACCTGAACCCTCTCTTGATCGGCTTGATTGGAAACGTTACGGACCTTGTTGGCGAAGTTGTTGGAGCAGTCGATGGTTTGGTAAGTTTTTTTAATTGAATATTCACTTTTTAAAAAAACATTCCAACAAGATTGAAACTAACGAAATGCTCTCTACTAGCTCGGATCCATTACGCAAAACGGAAAAACACTCAGCTTCCTCGTCGATAACCTGGGCAACATTGTCCAAGAAGTCGTTGGAGCAGGTACAGATGCCATTTCCCAGATTGTCGGAAACTACAAGGTAAATATCACCCCCCCCCCTCTCTCTCTCTCTCTATTTTAGCCTTCAACAGCAGCTCATATTTAAAAAAAACAGCTCAACATGACCGAAGTCGAAGGCAGCATCAAGCAAGTTGGCAAGGGTCTCACCCAAAAGACCTACTCGTACGAGCCGCTTGGTGCCCTCGTCGACATCATTACCAACACTGCCGGCCAAGTCGTGCAGGCGGTAGTGCAGAAGAAGAATGGCGGTGGTGGTGGAGGTGGAGGAGGCAGCAGTTCTTCTACTACCGCTTCCGCTACGGGAACCCCAATGCCTGTTACGCTGCCGATTAGCTCGGCTACGGGTACTGCGTAAACCAAAACTACAGAAAAAAAGAATAATATAATTAGCGTAGTAATGATTATTTGTGATAATGTAATTATACGCTATGTTTTCAACTGCGAAATTTTGAAAGTGTGGAGTGATTTGATGGATGAAGGAGAGTGTGGCTAATACGATTGGAAGGAAAGATTTTCTTAGCGTCAGGTGTTTGAACTAAGATGCTTACTTTTTGTGTCCGATTACATCGAAAATGTTGGTGGTATGGTTTTGAGAAGTAGTTCTTTCAAAGACAAAAGGAAAGGAAAAAAAAGAACGGAGAATGAATGATGCCTAGGCTGAGATATCGTGGGGTTTTATTTTGCTTCACGCAAATATATGTAATACAATTAGAGGCTCAATTAAAACTCCATATCTCTCTCCCTGCTTCACTCACATGCTCAGGATTAACTATCCCAGCAATTGAGCAATGGAATATAACAAGACACTACAGAAATAAACCCAAAAAGCTTTTACCAGTATCTCCTCCGGGCAATGCTGTACTCCTAAAATCCCCACCATTGCGCCGTAAAGTCAAACCCCCACACCCACC